AGTTGACGACTTCTTATGGAGGATGCAACAATATTTCGAGGGCATAAGTCTCACGGATGAAGCTACCAAGGTAAAAACTGCTTCCCTTTATCTTTCCGATACTGCTATGTTATGGTGGCGCAGGAAGCACGGTGACATCGAGCGAGGCACGTGCCGGATAGACACATGGGAGGACTTTGTCAAAGAACTTAAACGACAATTCTATCCGGAGAATGTTGTCTACGAGGCCCGACGAAAATTACGGGAGCTGAAGCAAAAAGGGACCATACGCGACTATGTCAAAGAATTCACCACCCTTTTGCTCCAGATTCCCAATATGACCGAGGACGACTTGCTCTTCTTCTTTGTGGATGGACTCCAACATTGGGCGAAACAAGAGTTACAACGCAGGGGCGTCAAGTCCGTTGATGATGCGATTGCCGCAGCCGAGTCACTAATTGAGTTCCTCCCATCATCATCTTCCGATGCCACCAAGAAGGACAAGAAGTACTCCGCCAGAGGTGGGGGAGAAAAAAGGGACAACAAGAACCGAGACTTCCGAGACCAACGACGAACGCCGGCCAAGGAGGATCGAAACTTTGGACGCCGCAGCTACGAGGAGAAGAAACAGGCGTTTGTCCCTAAGGGAGGCTGCTTCGTGTGCAAGGGGCCACATGCCATGAAGGATTGCCCAAAGCTAGGGTCCCTCTCAGCCATCATGGAGTAGTCCGAGACTGAGACTAAGGAGGCAGAGCCAACAATGATAGGTTTGTTGCAAGTCCTCAATGCCCTCAATACCAAGCCCGAGCGCATCACGTCTAGCAAGGGGCTCATGTACGTGGAAGCGCAAATTAACGGGACTCCGACAAAGGCTCTGGTGGATACAGGAGCCAGTCACAACTTCATTACCAAGGAGGAAGCCGCAAGGTTAGGACTATCTTGGTCCGAGAAAACTGGGTGGCTAAAGACTGTCAATGCCAATGCTCGTCGACTTGACGGGATTGCTAGCAAAGTGAGTCTGCGCCTAGGGACATGGCAAGGACGCGTGAATTTCTCAATAGCACCCATGGACGACTTCAAGGTGGTACTCGGCATGGACTTCTTACGACAGGTAACAGCTATACCCATGCCATCCTTTAGTACTGTTTGTATATTGGAGAAGGGTTCTTCATGTATGGTTCCAACTATAGAAGGGGACAACAAGAGTGCTAGCAAGCAACTCTCCACGATGCAGCTTGCCAAGGGGGCAAAGCGAGGAGAGCCAACCTACTTGGCAGTACTAAAGGAGGACAACCATGAGGAGGAATCCCCGAAGGTGCCCTCCCTTATCCAAGGAGTTCTTGAGGAGAACAAGGATGTCATGCCTGCCGAGTTGCCAAGCAAGCTTCCACCAAGGCGAGGTGTGGATCACAAGATCGAGTTGGAGCCAGGCACCAAGCCACCAGCCATGTCCCCCTACCGAATGTCTCCCCCTGAGCTCGAGGAATTGAGGAGGCAACTCAAGGAGCTCACAGAGACCGGGAAAATCTGCCCGAGCAAGGCCCCCTATGGCGCACCCGTACTCTTTCAAAAGAAGCATGATGGAACACTACGCATGTGTGTAGATTATCGGGCACTCAACAAGGTAACTATCAAGAATCGCTACCCCATCCCTTTGATTGCCGACTTATTTGATCGACTTGGGGGAGCCCGAGTGTACACCAAGATGGATTTACAGAAGGGTTACTACCAAGTTCGCATTGCCGAGGGAGACGAACCCAAGACCACGTGCATTACGCGGTATGGGTCTTATGAATGGTTAGTGATGCCCTTCGGGCTCACGAATGCCCCAGCTACTTTCTGTACACTCATGAACGAGATATTCCATCCGTACTTAGATCGGTTTGTGGTGGTCTACTTGGATGACATCGTTATATATAGCAACTCGCTCGAGGAGCACGCTGACCACTTACGTACTGTATTCAAGGTACTCCGGGAGAATGAACTTTATGTTAAGGAGTCCAAGTGCATTTTCGCCCAAGAAGAAGTGAACTTCTTGGGACATGTCATAGGCCATGGAAGGATCCGGATGGACGGGGCAAAGGTGAAGGCGATCATGGAATGGGAAGCTCCCACCAAAGTTACCGAGTTACGATCCTTCTTGGGGCTGGCCAACTATTACCGGCGGTTCATACAAGGGTACTCGGCGAGGGCCGCACCGCTTACTGACATGCTCAAGAAGGGGAAGCCGTGGGAATGGACCAACGAGTGTCAAAGAGCATTTGAGGATCTCAAGACCACAGTGAGTCAGGAGCCTGTCTTAGCATTACCTGACTTCACTAAGCCATTTGAGGTTCACACTGACGCGTCTGACTTTGCTATTGGGGGAGTATTGATGCAAGAGAGGCACCCGATAGCGTTCGAAAGTCGAAAGTTGAATGACACCGAGCGACGCTACACGGTGCAAGAAAAGGAGATGACGACCATCATCCATTGCTTGAGGGTGTGGCGCCACTACTTGCTAGGGGCGCACTTCAGCATAAAGACAGACAACGTAGCCACTAGCTACTTCCAGACCCAGAAGAAACTCTCCCCAAAGCAAGCCAGATGACAGGACTTTTTGGCTGAGTTTGACTACTCGTTGGAATACAAGCCGGGAAAGGCTAACGTGGTGGCCGATGCTCTAAGCCGCAAGGCTGAACTTGCCGCCATTAGCAAAGCCGACGGGGATGTCCTTACCCGTATTCGAGAAGGGCTCGAACGGGACCCTGTCACGAAAGCACTCATGGGGCTCGCAAAGGAAGGCAAGACCCAACGATTTTGGGTAGAGGACGGTCTACTCTACGCGAAAGGGCGACATCTGGTTGTGCCAAAGTGGGAGGGACTGCGACGAGATCTCATGAAGGAGTGCCATGATACCAAGTGGGCAGGCCACCCAGGGCAACGAAGGACGATAGCCTTACTCGAGTCCAACTACTTCTGGCCTCAACTGAAGGACGATGTGGAAACATATGTGAGGACCTGTCTCGTGTGCCAACAAGACAAGGTCGAAAACAAGCATCCAGAGGGACTACTCGAGCCATTACCGATACCCACAGGACCATGGGAGTCGATCACGCTGGATTTCATTAGCGCCCTACCACAGTCCGAGGGATACGGGTCAATTATGGTCGTGGTGGATCGATTCTCAAAGTATGGGACCTTTATCCCATGCACTAAGGACTGTACTGCCGAGGAGGCCGCCCGTGGATTTTTCAAGAATGTGGTCAAACACTGGGGACTACCAAGGAGCATTGTGAGTGATAGAGATCCACGTTTCACTGGACGACTTTGGACGGAACTTTTCAAGCTCCTAGGTACCGAGCTTAACTTCTCAACAAGCTTCCACCCCCAGACCGACGGACAAACCGAAAGGGTAAACGCGCTACTAGAGGGCTATCTACGGCACTTTGTAAGCGCTAACCAAAGGGACTGGGCCAAGCTGCTTGATGTGACCCAATTTTCCTACAACTTGCAGAGGAGTGAATCGACTGGGCGAAGCCCATTTGAGGTGGTCACGGGACGACAACCATTGACTCCTCACACAATTGCCCTACCTACAAAGGATGGGAAGAGTCCCGGGACAGAAAAGATGATTACAACTTGGGAGGAACAAGCCGACTTAGCACGCTCATACTTGGAGAGGGCCCGTAAAAGAATGAAGAAATGGGCCAATGCAAAGAGGCATCCGCGAGAGTTCTCCCAAGGCGACCTAGTCTTTGTGAAGCTATTGCCTCAACAATTCAAGACCTTTCGAAGCTTGCACAAGGGACTAGTACGAAGATATGAGGGACCGTTCTCGGTGATCAAGAAGATAGGGAATGTTGCTTACCGGGTCAATCTCCTACCAACACTCAAAATCCATCCAGTCTTCCACGTGAGCATGTTAAAGCCTTACAAGAAGGATGTGGAAGACCCAAGCCGAGGGAAATCATGGAGAGCACCGCCCCTTACAACCAAGTCTTTCGACAAGGAAATGGATGAGGTGCTCACTTCAGACATTGTAAGGAGACGAGGGGTATCACCAAAAAAGCGGTACTTAATCAAGTGGAAGGGGCTCCCAGTGTCCGAAGCATCATGGGAATTCGAGGAGGACCTATGGCAATTTCGTGACATCCTTGAAGATTATGAGGCGACGAGGACGACACCACAAAAGGTGGGGGAGAATGTAACGCCCCGCATCACTCCCTGCACGCACACGAGCAAGAACAAGTCTTGCCCGCCTTTTTTTCGCACTAAGCCTAGTTATTAGTATATGGAAGCCTTTAGAAAGGCCTAGACTTGATTGAAAGCTTCTAGAAGGCTCCAGAATTATGTAGATATTTGTAGTAGGGACAAGAACATCCTAGAACCTTGTAGAGACTTGTAGAAAGGGCAAGAATCATCTTGAGTTGTGTAGAAGGTTCTAGGACATGTGAAGATAGATGGAGACTTTTGTAGAAGGGTCTAGAAAGACCAAGGCCCTTGTAGGATCTAGAGAGTTCCTTAGAGGAGGTGGTGCCTATAAATAGAGGAGGCCCCCTCATTTGCAATCCATCCAAGCTTTGAGAGCTCACTTGTACTAGAGTTTGAGTAATAGAAGCATTTTCCCTTCAAGTTCTCTTTTCTTGCTTTCTCTAGCCAAAGCACTTGCACACACCGAGCACGATCCCGAGTGAGGTGAGGCTGACTTAGCTAGTTGCGAAGGGCGCACGAGAGGCTAAGGCCGCACGCAACCAAGTTCGAGAAACAAGGGCGTGACAAGCCTTAAAAGTTCAGTTTGTATGCATAGAGAGATACAGGATTCAGATATCTATCTCAAAGTTTAAAATCAGATTTGCCTGAAAGAAAATAGATTGACGTGAATTTCATAGATGCTTCTTAATATTATCATAAATGTGAACGCTACAACTATATTTTAGACATGGATAAATAAACAAGCATCCAACCACAAATATAAAAAGCAAAAACTGAAACTACCTCAAAGCTAACAGAGACATTTACCATCTTCTAGTTACCATCTTCTAGTTATTGTGATGACTGGAAGCACCGATTGACCGTTTGGGCTCGGGTAACTGCAATAAGAACATCACCAATATATTCAATGATCAGCAAGGAAGGGGGACAGAGGCATATCGAAGTAAAAATGAGATTATCAGGGAATGTTCTCAAACATAACCTTGTTGTAAGTAACTTAATGTAATTGTGAGTTAGCAGCGGCTTGAGTTATGAACCATCTCTTGATGAAAGATCAAGCATGTACTGTCATGCAAAAAATTGAAGACCCTTTCAATAGTATTTTTTCCACGCACATGTATTCAGAAATGGAACTAAACCACATGCTTAAGGGAATCTGACCCCTTCCAAACGGACCAACATATGTTGGTACAATACAATGCTACAACCTTGTAAGAAAACAATAAATAACCCCTTCACTATTAGGCATTATAAACACACAAAACAACCTTGGGGAGAACATTTCATTTCCTTCATTGTGTTGGATAGACATGGAGTTGTAAGAGCAGCGATTCTTTTCAGCCCAAACAAGGATATATATATACAGTTGTAAACATTCTTGCTGGACAATGCTAATCCCTATTTATCACACAAGCTAGCATTTCTTAGAGGATATTTGTCAACAAAATTTCTTTGTGATCTTTTCTAAATGGCTAAATTTTATTCCCCTGCATACAGATTTTATAGCAAAATTCTTGATATCATATCAAATGAATACGAATGAAAAAGTAATGCAAATAACGGGGAATGATATATCAAAATATTTATCTTGGAATTAATTTGAAGACATTAATACAAGAATGTATTGCCTACCTACAACCGAACAATTAAAAAAAAAAATGGTTCTGTCAAACAGAACAAAGAATTATGTCAAAATTCCTGGCAGCTGCAGCCTCTTTGACTCCACCGCCGCTATTGGGACCGCCATGAGAGTGGTGAGCGTGGTTGTCGGAGAGGGATGGAGGGTGGTAGTACTTGCGGCCTGTTTGGGGGCAGTTGGAGTGAAACCTTACGACAATCCTGACCCCTTGATCAATAATCTCCACCAGCTTCCCCATGCTCCTAAATGCTCTCGATCAAACTCAAAAACCAGACACACCTCCTTCCTTTTGCTCTTTTCTCTCTGAATATCTAGATTATTGAGAGAAACAGAGAACGGTGTATTAGAAGAAGACGAGAAAACGAGAACTATGCAGAGAGTGAGAGAGATTGCTGTTTGTTTGGTGTGGGTAAACAGAGTGGCATTGATGAATATGTAGCTGGTGCTTTCTCACGCTCTTTCTGGGGCAGTGTGTTTATTTGTTTATTGGACTCTTAATTATTTTTGTTGAGTTGTTCCAAACCGCGTTTTGGGTCTGTTTCGGCGTCCCATATTTGACTTTTTATTTTTTATTTCATTTTTTCTTTCTTTCAAACATTCTTTACTTGTCTGATAAAGAAAAACTAAAATTATTTCCTTCTCATTCACTTTTTTTCTTGCTTTATTTAATTACTAAATATAATTTATTTTAAGTTCTATCATAATTTAGATATATTTCCCAAATTAATTATTTTATAACACTAAATATTGTAATTAATTTAAAAAAAATCATAATACTTTATTTTAATTAATAATTAAGGATATAATTTGAAAATAACTTATCATGTATATCCATGACTTTATTTCATTATTTATCATTTACTTTAAAAATATTCAATACAAAAATTAAAAATTGATAGAAAATTTTAAATACATTAATATTTTAATAACAAGCTCATCGTTGTTGACAAACTTAATTATATTTAATAAATTTAATTATATTAAAATTTACTGTTAAAGATAAATAATAAAAAATTGTAATCTTAACTTTTTATAAATGACTTTTTTTTAATAGTTAAATCAACTAACGAATTCTAGTTATTTTAATCAATTAAATAATAAATTAATCGATTAATTTTATCATTATATTTCAGAATTTTTTTTATATAAATAGATTTTCATTTTTATTTTATTATATATTTTTAGAAATCAATCTAACAATCATGTGAGAATTATTTGGATAGAAAAACACTTTTCATACTTTAAGAATATTTGAGAAAATTGTTTTTGAGGCTATTTGTTATTTTTCTTAAAGAAACTTGGCCTGTAAGTGAATTTTTGCTTTAGATTTGTTTGATTGTTATTGTTTTCTTCAAGCATTGTAATCTTTTTATTTGTTTATTGTATTTTTGGTGTTTGAAAATTTGGACACTAGTAAGGAAACTGGATTTGTGGTTATGGGATTATAGGTTCAAGAACTAGTTTGTAGTTCTTGGAGTAAATTATCTTTCTCCTGGTGTATGTTTGTAATCAATTGATTTTGATTAGTGGAACTCAACTAGATTTGGTTGAAAACTGCATGTAATATTGTGGATTGGGTGAACCAATATAAATTATGTTGTTCTTGCCTTTTTTTTTTTCCATACTATTCTTATATTTGAGATTGTTGTTCTTTGATTCAAAATAAGATTGATTTTTGTTAAACTTTGAAATTGTTAATTAGAAAGAAAAAGTTGTGAATATATTTTAAAGATCAATTCACTCCCTCTTGATTTCAACCTGCATTTTTAACAATTGACATCGGAGTTGATTGTTAAAAATTATTCAAGTTTTCAATTCAAAAAGTTTTCAATGGCTGAAAATAAACTTCCATTTTCTGAAGGGGCATCAATCAATAGACATCAATTGTTTTATGGAACAGATTATCAATTTTGGAAGATTAAAATGAAATATTTATTGAATCAATTGATAGAAACATGTGGAATGCTATTGAAATTGGTCTATTTGTTACTGATAAAAATTGGCCTGCATTAAGTGATGATGAAAAGAAAAAGGTTCAGTATGATTTCACTGCGAAAAATATTATAACTTCTGCTCTTAATATGAATGAATTTTTCAGAGCTTCCCAATGCAAATCTATCAAGGAAATGTGGGAAGTATTAAAGGTAACTCATGAAGGCACAACTAACATAAAAAGGGCTAGGAAACATACCTTGATAAGAGAATACGAGTTATTCAAGATGCAGCAAGGAGAGCGAATAACTGAGGTTCAAAAAAGATTCACTCACATTATCAACCACTTGATGGGTCTTAGAAAGGTATTTGATAAAGAAGAGTTGAATATTAAAAGTCTTGAAGTGTCTGGAAAGGTCTTGGCAACTTAAGGTCATGACCATTTCAGAATCCAAGGACTTATCCACCATGGCCACTACTTTACATTTTGGAAAACTCAGGGAACATGAAATAAAAATTAATAAGTTCAATGAGTAAGAAGTCTAAGATAAAATGTTTAAGAGTATAACACTCAAAGTCAATGAGAAAGGTGAAGAATATGAGAAGGATAATGAGATTGAAAATCTTGGATTGTTTGTCAATAAGTTTATCAAATTTTTCAAGAAAAGGAACAAATACAAACCTGGACAAAAGAGGTATGTTAAGAAATCTGATTCAAATACTTTTAATTACAAATTTTATGGGTGTGACAAACAGGGACATGTTAGAATGGAGTGTCCATAAAAGATAAAGAATTAAGACAAGAAGAGTGACAAAGATAAGACAAAGAGAGACTATATTGCTTGAGATGACAATGACACATATTTAGCCGAAAACTCAGAGGAAGAAGAAGAAGTCAATCTATGCTTAATGGCTGGATAACTATCACGTGATAATAGAATGGTGTGGTATTATTCCCGAATTTTCTTAAAAGTCCTTTGAACAAACACAAAGTAAGCAGTATTTGTGTAATATGAAAACTAAGGAAATTAACAGAACGAGAGTCTCAAATAAAAGGCTAAAAGTTCAACTCCAGAACGTCTTCCTTGGCTTGAAACCACACCAGTACATTCCCAATCTCCTGTCACTCCCCTAAATCTTGTAGAAAAACAATCCTCTTCCTAATTCGTTTTGCTTTCCTCAATTCCATAAGTTATGGGTCCTCTGCCACGTACGATTATGTTGTAACCAACTTAGAATCTTCTACTTCGTGTGCCACCTCATTATTTGTACGTGTTACAATACCCTCCCCTTTAACAACAACCTTGTCCTCAAGGTTGAACTGAGGGTATGAAGATTGAATATTTGCCACATCTTCCCATGTACTATCATCTCTTCTACCAACATTCCACTGCACTAATACCTAAGATACCTGTTGTGAATCCCTGAGTAACACACGAGAATTGAGTGTTTTAATTGGTTGTAGAATAGGTCCCAATTCGGTAGTATGAAGAGGAAGAGGAAAATATTGTTGAGGACAATGACCATGGAACTTCTTTAATAAAGAAATGTGAAAAACAGGGTGGATTTTAGCTGTCTCAGGTAGTTGCAACTTATATGCTACTGCTCCAATACATTGAACCACTGGAAAGGGTCCAAAGAAACACATGCCCAGCTTCTGATTCTTCCGTAAGGCCACATAATGTTGCCTATATGGTTGCAAGTTGGCCAAGGCATAATCTCCAATTGCTAACTGAAAATCTCTCCTTTTCTTATCAGATTGCAACTTCATGTAATTTTGGGCTTTGTACATATTAGTCTTGAGTTGCAGTAGAATTATGTCTCGTTGGAATAAGGATTCTTGCAATGACGGAGGACCGTTGGAATCACATTGATATGGCACAATTATAGGAGGATCGCGCCCAAAAAAGACCTTAAATGGTGTCATGCGGATGCTATGGTGGAAGGACGTGTTATACCAAAATTGAGCCCATGGCAAAGCCTGATACCATTGCTTGGGGTTATCAAAGACAAAACATCTTAAATACATTTCCACTGCTTTGTTTACATTCTTAGTTTGACCATCACTTTGGGGGTGGTAGGAGGAACACATGGCTAACGTGGTGCCTTGAGCTTTAAAGAGATGTTACCAAAAATAACTCATGAACACCCTATCCCTGTCAGAGACAATGGTCTTGGGAAAACCATGGATTTTCACGACTGAATTAATGAAGGCTTCAACAACACTCTTACTATTAAACTCACGTCTGAGAGGAAGAAAGTGAGCAAATTTGGACAACCTATCCACGATCACCATGATAGTGGAATAACCTTGAGAATTAGGAAGATGGTGATGAAATCGAGTGCAATGTCCTCCCATATTTGTTGAGGAATTGACAAAGGTTGTAGTAAACCCGATGGCAACACCTGCTCCACCTTTGCTTGCTGACAAATGGAACACTCTTGCACAAAAGCTCGGATATCACGCTGCATATTGGGCCAATAAAACTGAGTAGAAATTCTGGCCAATGTTTTTGTGACACCCTCATGACCCCCAACTTTGGAAGCATGAAATTCCTGCATAATTTGAAGTCTTAGGTCACCTACAACAGGCAAAACGAGTCTATCCTTCCATAACAACAACTCATGCTTGCAAGTATAATTATCATCACCGAGAGTGCCGTTTAAGCATTGTGTGAAAATCAGACATAAGTTGTCATCCTGCTGAATATGTTCAATTACCCTTTTGAGCCACTCATTATTAAATTGAGACCAAGCCATCATACAACTATGCGATAAGGCATCCGCTAGAATATTCTCCTTTCCTGGTTTATAATGGATGGTAAAATCATATCCCAGAAATTTAGGTAGCCATTGCTGCTGCTCGGGGGTTTGCAACTTCTGCTCAAGTAACTCTTTTAAACTTTTTTTATCCGTTCGAATAATAAATTTATGGCCCAAAAGATAATGCTGAAATTTGGGTAAAGCCACTGTAATAGCATAAAATTCACGAACGTAAGTGGACTGCTTCTGCATGCGTGAAGGAAGTTTCTTAGAAAAATAAGCCACTGGATGTTGGCCTTAGCATAAGACAACTCCTATCCCCACTCCAGAGGCATCAGTCTCAACAATGAATGGTTCCTTGAAGTTAGGAAGAATAAAAACGGGGGCAGAAGTTAAAGAAACCTTGAATGATTCAAAAGCGGTAGTGGCTGCCTGGTGTAGACCCCAAATCTTGCCCAGCCTCCAAATAAAGTCAGAAAGCTTCCTATTTGAAGACGGCCGAAGCCTAACAAGCCACTAGGAGAGACTATTAGGCCCCCGTAC